TTAGACCATTAGCAAGCATTTCTTCGGTAAGAGCCACTTCCTGCTCCGTTCATGTTCTCGTGGAAATTCTAGAGTAAATGAGGGAGATTATAATCACCCAGCACCATGATGATATCATCGCTCAAGGACGTCTCTGTAATATTCCGTATAGCTACGGCATGTAACTTGTAGAACTCAGGACCTGACAAAGGGCGAACGTAGATTCCGGAGATGAACAGTGAGCGGTTTTCCAAACAACGAGCTGGTCACAGTTTTCCAACGAAACAAGGGAGCAAGGGTGCACAGATTTGACTGCTATGAGTGTACCACCTCCCCTGGATAATTGACTGGAAGATTCATTGCGATCACAGCGGAATATTTGGTAGTCCGTCGAAATTTCACAGTCGGATATGTCCGGTCGAAGCCAGGTTTCTGTTAAGACCACTGCATCGTAATCACTGCTCGTCAGTCTCAAACGAAGTTCTTGGATCTTCGTACGTAAACCCCTAACATTTTGATATTAGATAGAGAAAACTGAATCCGAGAGGTTCTCTATCTCACTATCATTAACTCGTACCGAAGCAATCTCGGGTGCATTCATGGAGCGCTCCTGCGTTCGTCTCTGCGGGTTCTGCTCGGTCAATGTAGGGATGTCAGTACGTTCCAAAGTTTGGTTAACACCACTGGAATGATGACCAGTCGTTGTGCTGGAATCGGAGGGTGGATCGGACAAAATACTGCTTAGAATTGCATCGTACTTGCCTTGCATGACAGGTTTGAAGACCCCTTCTTCATAACCACACACAGGGCCAGGACAACTGTTGGCCGATGACGGAGTGTGCTCGACTGTGGTGGAAGGATTAGGGGTTTCCTTAGAGCTAACCTCGTTGCGTCCTGTAGTTTGAGTAGTACTTGCAGAGTGTTGAGTTGAAGCAGCAATGGCACCCTCGGAGAGATGATATTCTCGGACGACGGTATGCAGATTCGTAGTACGATTTATGGACGGCTCCTGTCCTACCATCGTCCACAAGAGCAAGGTGACTTTGACCTCGTGAGCACACATCATTAGTAGGCAAATCATCAGGGACAGAAGGTTTGATAACACACGTATACTTGTCTGGGAGTGCAGGCTGGGAGACCCCTTCCACACACTCTTAAACAGGACCAGGACAACTGCGATGGCAGCTAGCTGAATTGATGACGTCTATAATAGCAGTTGATGTCTCGACTGTTACGGTGCTAGAAGAGGCTCCCACAGCGCTTTGTGATGTGCGTCCCGGTGTTGAAGAAGTAGATTCATTGATTCCTATACGCCCGACGTTGAGGAATCCATTGCATCCCTCGAAGATAGACTGACTTCTCTCGGAACGTTTTTTGCTCGATCCTCAAATTCTCGAAAACTGATGATTTCTGGCCAGGATTCGCAAGACAGTGCTTTTTCTTTCAGCTGGTCACTTAAGCCTACTTTAAAGGACACGAACCCAAGCGAATTGCGGTCCGTTCCCTTTGAAACCAGTTTCACTACCTTTGGTTGCATATTGGTTAAGTCGAGACACTCAGTAACAAGTCCCGCAATCTGGCTCTCTGAGGTTGTTGGATGGAAAGCGGATAAGTAGATCCAGAATAGATCGTCGTCGGGGCAGTTTTGATCGTGTTGATTGCCTTCGAACCCAAGTTAATTGGGACACTGGGAGTGTCGACAATTTTCCCGTCGGTACCTCTGCGGCGCTTTGGTGTATTTGGAAGAGGGTTGATACGCTTCACATTAGGCCAAGGGTTCGTTGTGGCAAACGGAGTCTGCGTACTAGTTTTCACATCCACTTTTTCCGATAAAGCTTCGAACGCAGAGTGCAGTTTTTCAATTTGCTTTTGCATAGAATGCATAGCATTTGCCGTTTTATCGTCGAAACTGGTCATCATAGTGCGAAAATGTGCATTTGAGAAGAGTTTGGCACATCCATCGCACATCCAGAAAACATTATTTCCGTATATCCCCAACTGCTCCAGGAGAGGCTCGTCAACATTCACGCAAACTGCATGAAAAGGAGCAGCACAATAGCCCAGACATACAACACGATCGGAGTCGGATACGTTTTTTTCTGACAGCGCTGGCATACCATGATGAAGTACATAACAACACAACAGAAGTTGAACGAGTAGATGCTTTCCGCAACTGATATTAACAAAGGGCACTATTCTGGACAGCTCGCAACGTGTGAACTTAATGAATGGAGAAGTAAACAACACGTAAAGAAGTAATTTGATGCTGCTGCTACTATCACAAAACTGACGAAAACCACTGCGCATGCGTATTTATACTGCACAATTTAACATGTACTAATATAGCAAGAGAAACTAGCTCGAATGGATAATTTAAAACGCTTGGTTAAACTAAAAATTAAATAAAATCGCGTACGACAAAAACACGAGAGATATTGGAGTTAAACCGTGTTGCCAGATTATGCGATTAAGGAGCTCAGTGGCCTAGTAGTGACATTTTTTGCATACTGAGCAAAGATCGGAGGTTCAATTTCTAACTTCTTCACATAAATGTGTTGCGAGGGTCGTATTGATTTATTATTATTCATTTAAGGGGACGGGGCCCCCAGCCGAAATTGAACGATAGTGACAGCAATTTAGGCTCGTTTATAATTGTGGAATGATATAAGGGGCTCGGCCTAGTGGAAACCATTTGTGCTTACTGAGCAAAAGAGTTCCAACGCGGGTTTTAAACGGCAGTACCTAGGAAACATTCTGCCTCTGTCCAGTCGGGTATGCGTCTTCCAATATCTCTATTATTTATGAACGTAAGGTGGAGGGGCGTTCTTTGAGACATTTCAAACTTTACTAAATTGGCCCTCCCAGGCATGTTCCACTGCACACTACGAAAAAGACATGTAAATTTCAGTTCCCTGAGACCGACACATGCAAGCGGCCCTTTTGACATAAGAATCAGTTGAAAAGGACGAGAAAATCAATTCAATCAAACGCACTTTTCGTCGAGTTGCATATGTTTCAGTTTCAGGACACTTAATTTTACATGCCATTTTTGTTTACGTTCCATGATTTACGTCAAAGCTAATTTACGTCTCGTGTAAAAATAATAATTTCTAAGTGTGTGCCCCTCATTAAATCCATTATCCGTCGAGTTAAGAAAAACCATAAAGTTTGATATGTCGTACAACGGGTTTTGGTTCTTGTAGAGAATTGGCCACTTTCCGGGGAGACCGTAATATTTCTGAGGGCACCAGAACATGCTCGGGAGGGCTTGTATGTCCATGGACTCTCAATAACGCCATTACCGGGCCAAGATTTGTAAAATCATGAAGTTTGATGTGTCGCACAATGGGTTTTTAATTCTTGTTGAGAATTGGCCACTTCCTCGGGGCAAGGAACTCAACTGCTCATTGCTTACTAAACAACCTACAACAGGCGCCACGGCATCCACAGACCAACTAGTCTTTTTATAACACCAAGCAAAGCTCTGTTAATAAAGCTTTCGATTTCACAATAAATAAAAATCTCGATTCATCCACGCCACGCAATAATAAACGGATCTCATAAAGCTTAATAAAAATTGGTTTAAAGTCCGAACAAAAGCAGTTGAGAATAGTTCTTCATCGAGCCATCATCAGTGCTACTGCAAACTCTTCCACTGGTTTCCACTACAGGGTGATTTGGAATAACTGTTAATTTAAAAAAATGTTATTAACGATTGAACGCTTGCATGATATTTTGGTATCAGTATATTTCAGATATACTACATATAGGGGAAATGGCACTAATGTTGCTCTATGTATCTAAGATTGGGCCCATCGCTAAAAATCTCCTAATTATCAATTTTATCTAGATGAACGCATCATTGGGACGGTACTAATGGATTATTATTTTGGTCGCTATTGAAAATTTAGTCGATTACTGACTTTATGTATGGGCCCAAATTAGGGACATTTAGGCCGACATTACATCCATTTCCCCTATAACCTTCAATTTAGCATACCTGAATTCAAATCTCTCTTCCTTAACATTTAAGTACCAGCCAAATTTGTGACGAAAATTAACCACAGCTGGAACGCACGTTTTAGTTTCAGCACATTTGTTGGTTAGCATGGTTCTTTTTTACCTCTACAAGGATGTGAAAAAATAAATGTTTAATTTTTTCGAAGATTTCAGTTTCTAAAAGATAACACACAAATTAATACAGATTTATGACATGCTCCAGTTTCACGTCCATAGCTGCTTGAAATCAAAAACGAATGAAATTTCAAATCCTACTTTCAATTTCAACTTTGAAATGAAAATACTTGAGCATATACCCATTTTACCCATCGAGAATTGCATATTTGTGAACAGTTATTCTGAATCACCCTGTATATGCCCGCCCACCAAATTAAGTGTCTCGTACTCTCTGTGTCATCTTCGTCATGATGTTTATGATGTTTCGTTCATAGTGATTGTGGCTGTCTCGACATGCAATAGTATCATCGTCGTCCATATTTAGTCGCATCAATGTGAGGGCAGGGGGGTTTTATCTACTGCTGAAGATCCCACTAACATATGCTCGCAGCCTTCGCATCCTCTCACGTGTCGTCTCGAATTAATTGCACCCGTATATTTCCAAGATCCTCATGAAGACGGGCAGTAATTGAGTTGTTCTTTGCAGCTTCAGCTCCAACAGCACACTAGCTTTAGATCGTTCGTTTCTTTGCTTGGTCTCATCGCATCGTCGAACGAACGTATCATCTAACCAAACCACTTGCTCTTCTGCTGATGTTTACACTCAGGTTGGCAAAAAATAAGCTTTTAATATAGCTTGAGCTCATCCTGATCTTCCACGTACTCTTTTCTCTCGACGAGGAAGACATTGCACCTACCGGAAGACGGAGCAGCACAACAGAAAAATAACTCTCGCTTCCACCCCATTCCTCGTCGTGACCTGTTCGCATCTCTGCACAGACTGAATTCGCACCGCAAAACAAACGCATCCAATGAATTTTCACCACCCTCTTTTCTCTTTCCAGTTCAACTTTGTCGGCAAGCTACTGGGCCCGAAGGGAAACTCCCTGAAGCGGCTGCAGGAGGAAACGATGTGCAAAATGGCAGTCCTTGGCAAGGGTTCAATGCGGGATCGTAAGAAGGTTCGTACCTATCTATCTATACACATTCCGATAAGACCGACCGCCCAGTTAGTGTGTCATATCCGCTTTTCCATCTCGTCGGTTTCCACTGATTGGTTGGTGGTCTGAGGGGGAGCGGGCGAAGGCAACATGTTATTTATTTCGTGGTTTTTTTTTTGCGTTTCCTTCAGGAAGAGGAACTGCGACTCAGCGGCGACCCACGGTACACGCATCTATCCGAGGATCTGCACGTCGAAATTTCCACCTACACAGCGCCGGCCGAGGCCCACGCCCGTATCGCCTACGCCCTGGCCGAGATTCGACGCTTTCTGGTGCCGGTGAGTAGCGACTTCTTCTTTTTAGTCATCCATAGGGGATCTGAAATCAAAAATAGTTAAATTCTCTTCGAAATTGACAGCCACCCTATTCCAAGAGTATTGTAAGCTGTTTAGCATAGGAATAAAAGCTTTATTTTATGTGATCGATCAAACATTATTTTGGTAAATAACAGAGAAACCGCTGCGCTCCGCTAAGTAAGCTGAAAATAATCGCCCATTGAACTGAGTTCCACCGCATCAAGATAACAGAACCTCAGCTACTCAAAAAACACTACCTGCCCTAGCCCGTTCGTAGGTCAACATTGATTGCATTACAGACGTTCTCACAATCCCAGAGAATCCGCCCCAACTGCCGTGGCCGTTGTCTGTAAGGCGTTCCACTTATCAGAAAGATTTGAATTTCCTTAACTGAAAACTTTTTTCCATACATATGTACAACGAATGCTGCTATTTCGGGACATGTTCCCAAATGTGAAAACAAGTCTTATTACATGAAATACGGTTAATAATAATGTAACAATAAATATATACTAATCAAAACTGTCCACTACAAAGTCAGACCTGAGCCAGGGTTACATTATTTGGGATCGTGCTCAGTGCAGGATTTAGGACTCGGGGAGCCCGGGCAAATATCTTTGGGGGGCCCCAATGTAAACTGTTTTCGAAGTTTTAATTTCAAATATGCGGGTTTAATTAGTATTAAAAAAATCAGAAGTTAATTGATAAGAGATACGGTGCCCCCAAAACCTTTCTAAGTTAAAAAAAATGCAACAGTTGCTTGGCGGTGCGTTTATTCTCTTTATTTCAATGTACATAAAATAATGCAGATCTGAACGATCTTTCACCTGAGCAATTCGTAACCATCAAACTCAGATAAATTCGCAGACCAATGTATACGTTCGGAAACGTATCAGCTAACTCTTCATCGTTCAGCAGTATAGCCTGTGCAGATGCTGTTAGACATGCCCTAATATTGGCAAATGCTGCAAACTGTACGATTTCATCAGCAAGTAGCCTTGTCAGATCATGCGAATACATGGCAACTAACTTTTCAGCTTCAAACCGTAGTTCTGCTTCCGACAGACTGCATAGATCAACAATGCCCTTGAACTTATCGTGAACCACTTGATATGCTGCTCGCCTTTTTTGTAATGCTTGTGAAAGCTGATTAAGTATTTATGACATCAAATGTAAGACGCTTGAAGTTCTTGCATGTACTGGATGTTTCGGGTTGATTTTCCCGTGGTCTTCCTTTGGTGGGTCTGTATTCCGCAGTGTCACAAAGAGCGATAGCTTCACCTTCTACTTCGTCAAAACGGTTTCGCTCTCCTTGCAAAAATGAATCCAGTGAATTATACAAATCAACCACCTTCTTCAATTCGACATCGATGCCCTACATTGCTTTGCTTGTCTCGTTAAAGCGTAACAGAATGCGACACCAGATCTTGGTCATCAAAGCAGTTTCGAGGAGATCCATTCTATCAGCTAGTGAATGCGATTCATATCTTGTTGCAGGAGATTGGTCATTCGCAGCTTCAATATGTCTCAACGCCTTCCTAATACTTCCATATCCTTTAAGGAGAGCTTCAGTTGCATCGGCACGTGCTGACCAACGAGTATCGGAGAGAGATTTAACCGTTAATTTCCTTTCATTGCCTTTCAAAAATTCGTTTAAAATATTCCATCGTCAGGTAGATGCAGAACGGAATATATACAGTTTTTGAACGAAGCTGAAGTAACTAACAGCTTCTACACAGCTAGAGACAGCCGCATGACCTACTAGGTTCAACGAATGAGCTACACAGGGAACGAAAACAGCAGATGGATTCTTCTCAAGAAGTCAAGCTTGCATACCCGAATAGGGACCAGCCATGTTAGACGCGTTGTCATATGACTGTCCACGACAGTAATCGAAATTAATTCATTGATTTTTAAGAAATACAAGCTTTATGAAACTTTGGCTGCAAGAAAGTCAAGAATCTTTCCACTGGTCTGCCAGAAACAACATATCGCAAGATTAATGTGAGCTGATCAGTATGAGTGAGATCTGGTGTTGAGTCCACTGATACAGAAAAGTATTTGGATGCTTTCAGTTCCATTATGATGAAACTTTGAACCTTCTTTGCCATTAGTAGCAAAATAAACAGTGGATGATAAATACGATTCCCGACCACTTCCAGGATTCCCAAAATTCTTTAGGTGGCTCATCAAAAGCGGATCAAATTGAGCTATGAGTTCCATTATTCCCAAAAAGTTGGAGCCAATAATCTCGTCACTTCCTCTGAACGCTAGACCTCTCTCCGCCAAAATGATAATGACAGCAATAGTACGACGCAGAATTTCTCGCCAGTACAACCGTTTTTCTTTTACCTAAGCTTCCAGTTCCTCTCCGTGACAGTGCCGCTTCTCGATGTGGCTGACCTTGCTCATGTGTTTTCATTTTTCCTCCGATTTCTTCCAATTATTGAAACCTTCTTCTCTGGAAAACGCATCGCGGTTTGTTGTCATGAGTGTGCAGTAGAAGCAGTAAACGGAAGCTGATGAGCCAGTGATGAATTATTAAACTGAATTGATAAAAAATAGCAAAATCATACCTTTTGATAAACTGTAGATGAGCCATTTCCTCAAACGCTGTTCTCCGTTGTCGTGTCTGGTCTAAAACCATCGAGTTTTTGAAAAAGCGATAAATACTGCCAGTACAATTGATAGCAGCGCTGAGATTCCGGGTACGAGTCAGATTCCTTTTTATTTTGGTTCACTGCAGATTTAGCCAATAAAGAAACACGGTTTTCTGTGATTGGGAACCAGGTAGAAGGATCGCTGGACATTGTTCCATCATATGTTTTCGAAGACCCAGCTTTAATTTGATCAGCATTTTCAGTACACTTTGGAAAGGCAGCAACCACCTCAGAAGATTCTAAGCCTTGTTTAGGTGTTTCAGCTGGTTTATCGGGCGAAGTAGGAGCAACGAGATCTTTTTCAGTTTTTGTTAGCCAGCACTGCTGCATCTTTCTCTGCCTTCTGCTTCGAAGCTGTCCTCTTCTGAGCACCAGATGGCTGAATGATTCGAGGCATTATTCAAAAACAACTGAAATAATAATATTATTTCGTTGAAAACAATAAACCAGATTGTCTGGATGACGCATATTAAACTTACGTTTTCATGTTTCCTTCCTATGAGTGGTTGCAAAAAGCAGTTCTTTGAAAGACTATTTCGAGTACACTTAACACGACCTCACAGGAAAATAATCAGCTTGCAATTAAACCAACCCTTGCGATGCTTTGTTTTGATTTTGAGAGCTGATTTCTTTTTGCATGTATAGAGATTTCTGACGTTTAACCTTCATTCACTAGCACACGAGGATGAATGGATTAATTATTTTCCCATCGATCTATTTCCCTCTTGCTCACACTTTGTCAAAAAGCCGTAGAGGATGTTCATTTGTATTCATTTCGTGTTCAACCTAATCTATCATTCGAAAGTAGTGATGTTCAATGTAGGTACGTCCAATATTCTTAAATAAAATCAATTATGAACTGAACTTAAAGAACCTTTATGTTTACGTACATATGTTAATGTACGTGTAATACGTGAAAGTAAAAAAAAATTGTATTAGCATAAAAATATGATAATTTTACAATTACAGAAAATATCTGCCTGGCCTCTGTGGTCCCCCCGAAAGATGGAAAGCGACCATCCCCCGCCTTTATCATTTTCATCCATTGCGGTGAAATATCGCCGCAATGGTGTTTTTTGTAAAAAATTATACAAATAATTGCAGTAATTTCAAATAATATCAAAAAAAAAAAAAATATATATATATAGTTTCACTCTACTAATGAGTAATACATGCAAAGAAAAAAAAATAAAAAAAAAAATAAAAAAAAAATAAATAATGATTATATACTATTTACAGAGTTTTGGATCACCCTAAGTAATACAAAAATAATAATAAAAAAACAATCAAGAAAAAAAAAAATCAAGCGAAAAAAAAATTGGATTTTTGGATCACCCTAATTAAACACCAATCTAATATTGGACCAGGGAAACAAGGAAGATGCTATACTGGCGAGAACAATACAAACGACACGATTTATACCTAACGCACTGAGGCGGCAGCAGACTGGAGAGATATAATTGTTTGATCCAACTGCTGCAGAGTCAATAACCTCGATGCTGGTGTGCCTCGGTCGACTCGGTAGGCAATATGACGCTCTTTCGTTGTTGCTATCGATGGGGTGATGTACCGATAGTGGTGATGATTTTGCTGATGATGTTGCGATGATGCTGGGTTAAAGCTGGACCGTAATGAAAGCACTCGGCATATCACTCGCGCACTAGTCGTCTAAACACTATGCCAATTAACTTTGGCGAGAAAAAACCCTCGCGTGGGGAAAAACTCAAAACTAAATGATAGTGTCGTACAACGAGACCGATGCGACTTGATCGGCTCAGCGTGCGAGACGGAATGAAGAGCTACGTTATTATAGACGAAAATCTTTCATAAGTCGCGCTTATGAAATTCATATTTGTCGTTCATAAGTCGAGTCTTATGAAATTCTTAAGTCTTCTTGCCTCAGTGTACGCAAAATTGAGTGTGTCATGCATTTTTGACTATTATACTTTGCTTAAATTTTTCAAGTATTTCAATGTTTCAGGTTATGGTTCAAAACTCGCGACAATTCATGTTAGCATAATCAGCAAACCATTCACATTTAATATAATGGTTAAGTATTGACAGAATTTTCCCTATATATCTACATTACGTTGATTAATGTTGAGCTATTTAGCTGTGATCAATCTGCACTAAATTCGACACCGACATAGACTACAATAGGAACGCTATTTCGCCACACATTTGTTGATTTGCTCTTTAGTTAAGTGCACAAAAACGCCATGTGTGTTGTGAAATAAAACAATTCCCAAAAAATTCGTTAATTTTTTTTTCAGTCGCTCCATCATTAGATTTAAATAAGGTCTCTGAAGCAGAGAAGAGGTG